CTATTAAAAATAGAATAAGTTTTTGAAAAATTTGTTTTTTCCCTTGTTTGCTAAGTATGTAGAAATTCTCTTTTTATTTATTTTTTGTGTATTTATATTGATTCTGTAGATTTCCTTAGGGTTTTCTGCATAAACAATCATGTCATTTGTGAATAGGAATCATTTTACTTCTTTTTCAATCTTTGTTTTTAATTTCTTTTTTCTTGCTTGATTACACTGACTACGACTTCCAGTGCAATATCGAATAGAAGTGGTGAGAACAAACATCCTAGTCTTGTTCATGATCTTAAGGGGAAAGCATTTAATGTTTCACCCTCAAGAATGATATTACCTATATTTTTTGGAGGTGTCCTTTATAAAAAGAGTGAGGATGATCCCTTCTGTTCTTATTTTGATGAACATTTTTATCATGAGTAGGTGTCAAATATATGCTTTTTAAAAATAGTGAAACTTGTTTTTAGGACTTCGGAAGTGTAGTGAATTACAGACGAATTTGACATTGCCATTATCTTCATTACAAAAAACAGTGTTATATAACTGGCACAGTAGCATGTAAATTGCTATACTAGAAGTCACTTCCACCTCGACATAGTTACTATGATGATTCTATGGAATGTAGAGAAAGAAAATCTAATCACTACCCTCAGTGATAACATTTTTAAGCACTTCCTGTGTTTAATGCACTGAATTGGTGATTGGCAATATCCCCAATGCCCCTGCTCTTGAGTCTAACCGCGCATACTCACTCATGTCCTTTTCTCTGTTAGACTGTTACTCTTACGTCCGTTTTGTCCTTTCTTTGGAAAGATGCTTTAGGAATTTTAGTATGTCTCATTAACCTAATATTTCCTTCTTTCAGGTTAATTTCCTTTATTATGTGTAAATTCTTTTCCCTATGTACAGTGTACATGAAATGGACTGTAGTTGTTAAATTAAAAAAATCTAAATGTATTTACTGTTAGAATTTTTTCCTGGTATATCAAATACTAGCAGACTAGCTTTTAATGGTTCTCACTTTTGTTGTTGTTATTTTTAAGACTAATGGTCACCCTGGGCAAGGTGTTTTTAGGTCTTCAATCGTTTGTCCTTGGTTGTCACTGGGGTTGAATGGAAAAAGCACAGAATATTTACGAGAAGAGTGGCTTTTTTATCTGTGGGATGCTAGATGGAAAACCCTAAATCAAGCACAGGAATGTGGAAATTGCTATGCAACAAAAAGGAGATTCCCTTGTGAATTGCTGGTAGGATCTCTTGAAAATTAGAATGGGCCAGTCTGTGGACCTACTCTCATATCCACAGCAAGTCTACCAACTCCATGCTGTTCTTCAATCCCTTCTGATTTGAGGTCTTCCATACAGTTTGTGACTTTTTAAAAAATCTTATTGCTGGAGAGTATTTGGTTATTTGTACCAAATGTGATAGGTTTCACAGCTTTTTAAATGTACTTTTTTGTTTCTCAGGCTTCCTAGATCACTCACAGTGGTATCCGTTGCATCTTACAGTCAAGCCTTATTTATTTTAAAAATCATATGGGTATTCTAATGTGATTATTTCATGGAAAAATAGAATTTTAGAGCTAACTGATACCTTAGAAATCATATTTTCATATCCCCTTAGTTGTATTAGAAATCATTTAACTATTTATTTAAGGACCATAAGGTTACAGACATTAATTTTAAGATCATGGCATTAGAAGCATTGACTGGCTTCAAGGATAACTCTAGTCCCATACTTTGTAATAGTTAAAGCATGCTTGTTATGTAATTTTGTATACTGTTTATTTCATTAGTGATACCTAACACTTCCTTCCCCTGTTTACCCCGCTCAGACTTTATTTTATCTATTTCACGTGGAATCCTCACATGCACTCTTGTATGAAATTATTGCTGTGTTTATTACTAATTGGAATCCATGTTGAATTTTAGCAGGTATTTTCCCCTCTACATCAGCCTCTTTGATGGTAACTGGGTTTGCTGCTGCTTACTGATTAGTGCCCTGAGTCTCAACAACCTTATTCAAACAAAACATCCTAAACGGAGGCATTAAACAGGTCACAGCAGTGAGCCATTTTGTGACTTTTGGTGCAATAAAATGGGTATGTTGTGTTTTGGAATATAAGACCTCTGAGTGCAGCTATTCATTTTCTTCATCTATAAAACATTTTAAAATAACAGCTTACATCTGTTTGGGGTATAACATTCCACGTTTTGAAGAAACACCACTGTTATGTAACTCCACACCAGACGTGGGGAGGGAGGTAGCTTTGTGACAGGCCCACGTTCTGTAGAGCTGGGAGGAGTGTTTGTTTTAACTATGGAGCCTTGGTTGCTGGCGGTCCTCCTTCCACATGTGTGGAACACATTTTCATTATTGTTTCTTCCTATTGTAAATGACAAGTGTGCACTACGATTTCAACTTGAAGAATATTTGAAAATTGATCATGTCAGGAGTTTATCTTATGAGGGATATTTCACTACTAGAAGCCACAAGTAAATTTAATTATTTGAGCATTTATAGCACATTTAATTACCTTAGTCTGTCAGTTAATCTTGTTTTAGAGAGTAAAGTTAGGTTTTACTGTCGGCTCACTTTTAAAAATAAATACCCAATGGAATAGTTTGGCCATTCCAAATGTGTGATTTTTAAATTACTTTTTTAAACTGAAGGAACAGTTTAATGAATAACTTTTAATAGAGGAAAAGAGGCAAAATCTCGTTCTATAGAATTCAAAATCTAGCAGTATTAAGTGCCAAATAAGTGCAGAAAACATTCAGTGCAGTTTTATGGGTTATTTTCATCATGAAGTGAATAATGCTAGCAAAGATTGTTACAATAAATTATAAAGCTTTTTTTATCTTACAACTGTGAAGCATTCTTGTTAAATGTGATATATTTACATTCGAGGGGAAAAAAGTACAAAGAAGAAAATTAGAATAATCTATAATCCTATTGTTAGTCCTTTTGGGTATATTTATTACATATTATAAAGTTTTAAAAATTTAGAAAGGCTTTTAGCCAGTATTTCATTTTGGTAATTAACTTAATTGGAAATAGAGCACTTTAGTTTCAAAATGGTCAATGTCAGATGCTATTAAGTTTTGGTGGGGAAGAAAAAAAACACCCTAAACTAAATTTGACTCCTCTTGTGAACTTTGACATTAAGGGTTGGGTGGCTGCTTATATATGACAATGAAAAACTTCTATGAGATTCTAGTTTGTCAAACTAATCCATGCTGTTGACATTGATTTTTTTTTTTTTTTTCTTCTCACTGCCATTTTCTTCCTGAATGGGAGACAGATTTTCTTTGTGGTTACTGTCTGTCAAACTCAGGGCCATCCTTCGCTCTGGTAGTGTAAGACCAATGATGCTAGACTTTAAATTTCTGAGTACATATAAATATTTCAGAAATAATGCCCTTAATTCATGTGAAAGTAGATACCCATTAATTCCCCCAAACTTGTGGGGACACACACACATGCATGTGCATATGTGCACACGTATGTGTTGATAATGTTCAAAGTCCACATGTACTTTTCATCTGCAATTGAGCTGAATATAGAATAACAATACTGGGGCCATGGTGTGCTCATGGGCATCATCACTGCTGGCACTGGCTCATTGACACTGACACTGATGGGATGTTATATAAGCTGGTGGGCATGGTCCACTAGTGTTCAGGCATTTTTATTTTAGGAAATATGTGGAGGTAGGTTTCTGTTTTAGAATTTTAGAAAATGTAGTTAAAAGCAAATCAATTGCACGGTGGATGAATTAATATGCAGATACATACATTTAGATGTCTTTTGGGTAGAGTAGTTAGACAAGCTCTGGAGTCAGGTTATCTGGGCTTCTTCCTAACTGTGTACTTTTAGGCTAGTTAGACAACTTCTCTGAACCTCAGTCTCCTAATCTATAAAATGTAATAATATCTAACTGTCTTATATGGTTGTCATGAGGATTCAATGAAATAAGCATAGGAAGTGCTTATTAGCACTGTGCCTGGCACGTGAAAAGTGCCTGATGATTCTAGTTCTTATTGTTAGACGGCTAATTGTAAATACTTACTACATAAGTGTGATGATTATCTTGGCCACTCATACTTCATTACTGAAGATGACTCTTCTCCCTAACTGCACGTGGGTCTGTATCAGGTGTTCAGGCCCACTTCTACTTGTGTCTGTTTAGAACCTCTCCACTCCTCCGGCATGGATTCGGTGTTCCTGCCCTGAGGAGTGCTGGGCGCCCACACCCACACTGGCTGCTCTGGTCCTGGAGTCCTGTTTCTGAACTTACTTTTGCAAGTGACTCTGCGTCTCCTCTTCTTTCTTCCCTGCCCTCTTTCCCTCCCCCTGCGCTTGCCTTCTCTCTGCATTGTCCTTTCTTCCCTCCCTCCTCTTCTCCCTCTTCCTCTCTCTCTCTCTCACACCCTCCTTTCTCTACCTGCCACCACTTCTTCTCTTACCTTCTCTGTTCCTCTTCCTCCTGCTCTGTCTCTCTCTCTCCCCTTCCTTCCCTCTCCCTTTTTCACCCCTCCTCCATTCCTCTCTCCACTTTCTTCTTTCATTTCCTTACCCTCCATCTCTCTCCTCTCTGTTTCTCTTTTAAATCCTAACACTTTGTCTGCTAAGGAGGAGTTAGCCTTAGGTCTTAAGCAGAAAAATGTCAAGTCTTTAAAGTCCTTATTACTTATGATGGGAAATACTTAGTCATTTCAGAAGCCGGACTCTGTCCATATTTTGCTTCTCTTTCCACTTCAGAAGGGCTTCACAGCACCATTTTATGTCCCTTGGGCTCAAAAGGTTAGAGGATCTACAGGCTACCGTCTCTTTCTAAACATTATATGTATACTATACCCATAAATTTGTTTAACGTTACTTTTGTTATATACATACATCTAAAATGAAATAAAGTTTCTAAGTAATAATTATGGGTTCATATAGTAATGCAGGTAAACTCTGATCTTTCCACCTAATTTATTTGATTTCTTTTTCCCCCTCAGATTCCTTTTTCTTTGGTCCAGTTTCCCCTATGGGAGTCCTTAAAAGTAAGTTTTTCAATCTTCATATAAAATTTATCTCTAATTATCACAAATACCCAACAATTTCAACATTGTGGAATAGTAGAAGTAACATTGACTAGAAGTTTAAAAACTCAAAATTATTAATAGTTGAAATATTTTTATGTGTGATTTAGTCCAGCCTTTTAAACTTGTTCAAGTGTGTGTGGGACTAGGAAATAAGCATAGCAGGCCTAACTGAAGTCCACAGATGTTCAGAAAAAAATTTCTTTCGTATTGCTATTCTTTCTCCACCCAGTTGAATTTTATTTCACTTTGTGTATGCACGTGTATGTGTGTGTGCGTGTGTGTGTGTAGAAGTTAAGGAACAACGATAAGGGTAAGTAGAAAAGAACAAGGCCCTGACATTTTTAGGCTGAGAAGACCCTGGCCTCCCCCACCCCCATGTAAGGGCAGGTAGGAGGGGGAGCAGCAGGGGACATGGGGCTCTGACTGTCCCTTCCATCTTTGCTGCTCACCTCGACCAGGACTAGGAGCCCCTGGTGAGAAGGAGCAGAGTGTGGTGAGTTGGGAGTCAACCTTGGGGAAGGTCACTCATCTATTTAAAAATAAGTTTTTAAAAACCTGTCTTTAAAACATGCAAAGACTTTGCATTAATTTTTCATCTTCTACTGCAGTGATATTGAAAATTGTGGGTCATGATATGAAGTATGGGGGTCTTTCCAAGCATTTTAAAGAATATAATAAAAAAGAAAATATTAGAGAACATCGTACCTGGTAAGGATAAATATTATTTTGTAAAACCTTGGTGTTGTGTGTGCACACGTGCACACACATACACACACGTACATTTCTGAACTGGGTTGCAATGTAAAATGGATTTCTCACTGTGGATAATGGTTACAAAGCCCTTGTTCAAGTGAAAATGTTCATGAGTGCCCAAACTGTAAAATGACAAAGTATCCAGGTGGACATTAGATAATATGAAAATAAAGGAATTACCCCCATAATTTTATGGAGTTACTAACTGTGGAGTGCTCATACACACTGTCTTTTGAAGACTGTCTGAAATAAATTCTGTTGAGGTTATATACTAAGTGATAGTAAATTGAGATAAAACATTACTCTTTTAAAAAATAAACTCTGAAATATTAAGTATTGAGAAATATTTCCTATAAATGATCTGATTTTAAGGAGTAGTACTGCTCACTTAATGTAGTTTTTTTTGTCTTTTGTTGTTTTGTTTGTTTTGTTTTGACCATTTCCTATGGTGTATGGTGAAAATAGATTTTTCAGGCAATGTTTCAGGGCGTGATGTAACAGCTATCCAATAAGAAGGTCACATTCCATTAGCATAACAGCTCTCCTTTTTAGTATGTGACAAAAGAACAATGACGCCAACAGCTGTCCAGCAAACAAGACTCACTTTATTACAGTGTCTCAATAACCAGCATTCACACAGATTCTGCACACTCTAACATCCTTATGGTCTAACTCTGCAAAGGAATGTTTTGAGGCCCAAAGAGGGAAGAAGTATAGGGCTTATTTCTTTTTAATATTAAGACCATTTCTAGCATTCTAGCTCGTTAAGAAATGTCTAGAATTTTTCAGAGTAATCATAGGTAACATTGCTATGCTTTAAAATTTTTCTTTGAGAAATGTTAAGATGCTGTTGTTTCTTTTTTAAAGGCAGGTTTCTTAAGAAATAATTTATATACAGTAGAATTTGCTCTTTATAAGTGTACATTTTTATGAGTTTTGACAAATGTTTATAGCCACCACCATAACCAAAATAGAGAATACTTCCATCACCCCAGAAAGTTCCCTCATGCCACTTTGTAGTTTATCTGCTTTCTCTACCCCCAGCCCTTGGCAACCAGTGTTCCTGTAGTTTTTCCCTTTTTCAGAATATTATATAAATAGACGTAGAGTACTGTATAGCATTTGATGCCTTGCTTTGGCATGGTCCACGCCATGGCATGATCCTAAAGGAGTCAGCTTGGGCTGCCCTCTCCAAGTTGGCAGGGCCGCTGGAGGGAGAGCTGCTGGCAAGGCTGCAGCTACGAGCACTTGCTGCAACCAGAAGGGCTGCCTGCCTCAGCTTTGTGGCTTTTGCCTTCTCTTTCGATATTTTGGTTAGCATGGCAGTTCTCTGAATTCCCAAAAGATTATAAAAATAACACAAATAATTATGTAGTCATTGAACTAAACATTCCCACAGAGTATCCGAGTAAATTGGACAATTTAAAATTATCCCCTTGTGATAAATTGACCACACCAACATATGTTCCAAAAGCACCACTCATGACTAAATATGAGCTGCAGCCTAATGTAAGTTGGCAAACATCTTTTATTGGAGGTTATATTAATGGCAAGAGAATGGTTGGCATTAATGAGAAACTATATGATTGGGACAAATTAAGTATATGGGAACAACACTGTAGAACTCCCTTTACTTGGTGGTATCCAGTTTTAATAAATCATTAAGAATCAGGTATTGGGATAAAAATATATGCTGTAAAATTATTACCTACAAAATTAGATCTTAGAAAATAAGAGGTAAATGTAACTAGTGTGTGGGGATGGTGCTGTGCACAATGACACTTTGACATTTAGATCAAGATTACAGGGCCACAGCAAATGCATAACCTTAAAATGTGCATGATAGTGCTGCTCAAATATCAGCTGTTCTTTTTACATTTGGCTCCCACCCTGTTAACAGGGTGGATCTTAACCACAGTTTGCTAACAGAGAAAGGTCACAAGATAACTTCGAGACAATGAAGGGATGGTTTGAATCTGATAAACCTCATTCCCGGAAATAGAAGCACGAGTTGATCACCTAAGATGTGGTGACCTCTAAAAAAGTTTCCTCCCTGCTTTATGGACTATTGATTTAAGCTTGCTCATACAATAAAAATAGTATCCCAAAAACCCCCCTGCAGAGAAAAATCTAAATAAAAGGCATTGTCTCATGCTCTACTGGGCTCCAGCTGCAACACGCTGACAGCCAGCAGAGAGAGAACATGTATATTGATGCATTGAGGTCTCTGTCTGTGTTTGTTATTTTCGCCGACCCTCCCTCTCCCTTTTTGGGTACCCACAACTTGACTGGAGCTGGTCTCCAACATTGCTTCTTTCACTTAGTGTAATACTTTTGAGATTCATTCATGTTGTTGCTTGTGCTGATAGTTTGTTCCTTTGTTATCACTTTGTAGTATTCCATTGGTGTGTAGATGTACTACCGTTTATTTATCTATTTGATACACATTTGAGTTGTTTCCTGTTTTTGATAATTATGAATAAAACTGCTATGAATATTTGCGTGTAGTATTTGTATGGACATACGTTTTTGTTTCTTTTGGGTAAGTACCTAGGCGTGGCATCACCGGGTATAAGGAAAGTATACATTTAATTTTATAAGAAACTGTCAAAGTGTTTTCCACAGTGGCTGTACTATTTTTCATTCCCACCAACAATGTATGAGAGTTCCAGTTGCTGTGCATCTATGTCATTTCTCATTATTAGATTAAAAGAAAATTCAGCCATTCTAATTGTATTAGCCCATTTCTGTTGCTTATAACAAAATATATGGAATTGGGTGATTTATAAGAAAACAAAATTTATTGCTTGCATTTTCTGAGGCTGGTAAGTATGTCCAAAGTCCAGAGAACACATCTGGTGAGAGCTTTGGTGCGGGTGACAGTGACAGCAGAGTATCACATTGCGATAATGGTGGAGCAGAGAGAGAACAAGAGAGAGCTAACCTTCTTATGCATTCTCCTTTTAAAGCCCTCCAAACCACACCCATGACCACCATTTTTTATCTATTCACTATAGCGTGGTCCTACAATCTAATCACCTCTTTAAGGCCCCACCTTTCAATGACCATAATAAGACTTCCCACTCTCTTAACAGTCACAGTGGGGGCCAAGTTTCTAATACATTAAACATGGGGACAAAATTCTAGCTTTAATGAGTTTGGGGGGGACGTTTAATCCATTACATTAATAGTTGTGTACTGGTATCTCATTGTAGTTTTAATTTGTGGTTTCTTCATGACTAAATAATATTGTGCAGCTTTTCATATAGTAGTGTTAAACATCTGAATGTGAAGTCACAGTGCTTTTGTAGAAGTGGACAATTTTTAACATTTATTTTTGTGTTTACAACTTTATCCATTTAAGCTTGCTATTGCAACCATAGAGAGAGATTGTATTATATGGGAGGACTTCTCAATTGCGTTCATAAGGGAATGCTACTCAGGAAAATTGTTCTCGGTGATGATATTAGCAGATTGCATACTGCAGGGAGTGAGGGTCTGGAGATCGGGGATGGCCACTATTATTTTAAACTTAACTTTGTCTGAAATGAAGTCATCACCTTTCTTCTAAAATCACTTTCTCCTGCTGTCTCCCCCATTCCTAATAATCATGCCGCTACCTTCCTGACCACCTGGTCTCAAACGCCAGATTAAAATTTGATTCTCTTGTTTCTCTTTCTCCATATCACATTACTCATCAAGTTTTGTTGACTCTCAGCTTTTGGAACCCGTGGCCAACTTTTATCAGATTTTTAGTGCCTTATGCCTAACAGGTTCTAACAGGTTCTCTACTTTCTCATCCATTGTACACACTGAATCTGTGTGATCTTCCTTAAACATCTTTTTGAAGTAACACTTATGTTCTCAGAACCTTACAACTTTCTAAAAATTCTGAAAGAATTTAAGAATCTCCACTCTGTGTCCCTAAGTGGTTTTTCCAGCCCCTTCCTCCTACCTTTTTTTTTTTTTTTTTTTGCAAATCCTTCCTCTCAGCCAGAGTAGCTGCCTTACTACCTCTGTGTTCTCCCCTCCCCAGCCCTCTTGGCTTTCCCCTCCCCTGTTCTTTGGCTCTTTTCTAGAATGTGCTTCCAGGGTTCTAAATGCAATGCATCTTTCAGAGCTCAGTTTAGTTTTGATCTGCTTGAAGTCTTCTAGTCCAGGCCTTGAAGATCTACTGTTTCTTCTCTAACATTTGTCTATATTGC